AGATCTTGAATTAATTTCTTTGCAGAATCAATACTATCACTGCCACAGACGAGATCATCCATATAAAAATAAGATTTGAGCACATTCGCAGCTTCTGGATACTTATGACCATCATCTTGTGCGAGCTGTTGTAGTGTCCGCATGGCAAGGTACGGTGCCGCCTTAGTGCCATACGTTACGGTGCATAATTGCATTTCCTGTAATGGTTTGTTCGGAGAGTTTCTCCAGATGATTTTTTGAAGTGATTGTTGTTCTTCGTGAAGCATAATATTTCGGTACATTTTTTCTAAGTCAGCTATAAATGCATATCGATGCAGTCTCCAGTGGGTAATTAATGATAATATATCTTTTTGCAGATTGGGTCCGGTGTACATGAGGTCATTCAAACTGAAGTTAGTTTTAGTTTTTTGTGAAGCATTGAATACAACACGTAATTTGGTGGTTGAGGATTCCTCTCTTATTACTCCGTGATGAGGAAGATATGCTTGTGGTTGGTAGTTGGTTATGGTGACAGCAGGCTTCATGTGACCCATATCCAGATATTCTTTCATAAAAAGTTTATATTGAGTAGCGAAATGTTTCTGTTTTTGCATTCTTCTTTCAAGTTGAAAAAATTGTGACATGGCTTGCAGTTTAGAGTCTCCTAAGTACTTCTCAACATCGTTTTTCATTGGCATTTTTACAACATATTTACCATCTTTTTGTCTTTCAGTTGTACTGACGTAATAGTTCTCACAGTATTCTTTTTCACTGATATCGCAATTGTTGTCGGTTTTTGTTATCTCTTCAGTTTCCCAAAATTTAGTTATCTTCTCGAGGTCGTTGAGAATTACAAAACAGTTAAAAGTTTGCACGTTTCCACATAGAATCCACCCTAATCTGGTCTGTTGTGCAATAGGAAAGTTCTTTTCACTCTTCATGACTCCATCCATTATAAGTTCGGAGTAAACGTCAGCTCCAAGAAGTATATCAATTGGTCCTGAAATATTAAATTCAGGATCGGCTAATTTTATGTTATCGAGATATTTCCAGTTATCGATAGAAAATGATGACGCGGGAAGCTTTTTTATTAATTTTGTTATAATTAAAGTTTCAGTTTTAAATGTATAATCCGAATGTCTTGATTTGCATTCTAAATGCAATAATCCTTTGCAGTTTCCGCTAATACTGCCGACTCCAGATACGACTGCGCTCAGTTTGCGCCTTGGAAGTTGAAGTTGTTGCGCAGCATCTTCTGTTATAAGACTAACTTGAGATCCTTGATCGAGAAGTGCTCTTAAGGTCACATAATTTCCATGGAGATTTTTTACTTTGAGCTGAACGGTGGTAAGCAGAATTTCTCTATTTTCATCTGTAATGTTGTTGACTGAACGGGGCTTAGAAGAAGAGTTTTCCATATTGTTATCATGTAATAAAGTATGATGTTGCTGATTGCATAGTTTACATCTTTTTTCTGAATTACAAGGCTTCAATTTATGGCTGAATAAACAATTCTTGCATAATTGTAATTTCATAACGGTGTTCTGACGTGCGTTATTACTCATGTTTATAAATTTGTCACACTGCATTAAAACGTGACCATTACTTTTGCATAGAGGGCAACTTTTCAAAGCAAAAGTATTATACGATCTATGTATTTTTTCAGATTTGTTAAAAAATGTAGACCTTTTTTGATTATCATATTTTCGGAGCGGGGGTTGACTTCCTGGTGATGACTGTTTAGGATTTAGGCCGTTCTGCAATGTTTCTAATGCCATAAATTTTGATTCCAAAAAGTTCAATAATTCTTCTAAGCTCGGCAGCTCTCTCTGAGCCTTAAGTCCTTTAATATATTCAGCGTAAATCTCATTATCTAACTTTTTCGCCAATAAGTGGGCAAGAATCGAATGTGTTGCTGTTATATCCACTCCAATATTAGACAGGCCATTTAAGCATTCCACCGATGTGTCATGTAATTTTTTGATAGAGTAAGCATTATTATATTGTATAGTTGGTTGGTTAACTAGCGTATTCATATAAGATGTAAATAAAAGTCGTTGGTTATCATACCGATGTGTTAAAATATCCCAACACGCATCATAGTTTTCTGCGCTGACAGCCAGATGTTGCACTAGTTTTTCCGCTTCTCCTTTCAGTTTGGATTTCAGATGCTGCATCTTTTGAGTTTTCGCCAGTAACGGATTTGTATGAATGCTTTCAACGAAAAGATCTTTGAATGATGTCCACTGAGTGTAGTTTCCGTAAAAGTCAGGAATTGCAATTCTCGGTGTTGCTTTTTCATAATGAACGTTATTCCAAATTTTTTGATTTAATTGCTTTTTCATGTTATCATATGTATTTTCCAACTCAGTGTATTCATTTTCATAAAAGTAGTCGATCTCTGTTGACAAATACTCTAATTCGAAATGATTTTTCTCAATAATGTTCCACTTTGATTTAATATCGCTTAACGCGTCTTCCAATTCCCATCTTTCAGTTATAGTTACACCCTCGTATTTGGATAAAGCGCGACGAAGCATCTTGAAATTGCATTGCTGCTGACGTAGTAGATCATTGCGTTTGTTCTTGATTGTGGAAGCATTATCATCTCTCAGTCCAATATCTGCCTTAGATGTGGAAGCTGTAGGTCCAGAAGCAGGTGAAGCTCTTGCCGAGTTGAGAAGCGCATTATTCAATTGAAGAATCTCCTTTTCCGTTTCTTCACATAATGTTTTTGTGCGTTCATAAATATTATCCGTAAAATATTCGATATTTTTGTCTTCCCGTTGAAGCAGTATTTGATGATTCATCTCAAATTCTTGCCATTGGGTTTTCAAAGCAATAAGTCTTTTTTGTAAGTAATCTAAAGTTTTTCTTGATGCGCTGTCTTTATGGAAGTTTTGGCAGATTTGCTTTATTTTTTGGAAGCTTTCTTCTTGACGAGTAATTAGTTCTTGCATATCAGATGCCATAGTAAGTTTTTGTAGATTAGTATCAAAGTATTTCCAATAGGTTTATTGGTTCTTTTACGACCGAAGAGTGAACGGGCGTATAAAATAGGTACTAGATAAATTTTCGTTTTGCACGATATATGCGCCTTCTCAATTTGCCTAGTGAGACCCGCTTGTGGGAGGCCAGACAAACCGATTCGCTACCGAACAAAATTAATATATAAAAGTACCTGTTTAAGCTCGAAGGACCACTTTGATGTTGGGGTCTTGAAGAGTGTAGTTGATAGTAGTTTGGATAAAGTTGAATAATAGTTCAAGTTAAACACTGCACTGTTTAAATAGTTAAGTTTATTTAATTAGTAGATAAGTTTAGTTAGTAGATACATGAGTTGACCAAGTATAAATTACAACTAACTTTAATGTCGATATATATAATATACTAAGATTATTGACCGCACGCCAAAGTAGGTTGCACGTCAGCAGTAAATATAAATTAGTTATTGTACGTAATCGTACATAGGGGATGAAAGTTTGTATGAAACTTTGTCAATTTTAAACCAATCGGGCTGAGACTTTGGCATGCATAAAGCTACTATAACTTAGGCAACCCCTAAGAAAGGATTTTGATAAATTCCACCCATAAGGGGATAAAATAGAGGATGAAACTGTATTTCAGGTATTTTACACGATATAATGAATAAATATTCGTTACAAGTGATGCTCAAAGTAACTTTACTGCGTGCACGAAGTCGCGAGCAAATGCTAGTAGTTTATATAACTGATATGGTTTTAGTTGGTTTCAATCAATTTACGGCATTGGTTTTATTTTTTTTATATATATTCAAGAGCAAGCATGCTGATTTCATTCGGTCACGATACTATAATACTAGATTCGGTAGTTTATTTATTTCTAATATATAGTTTTTTTGGTAGCAAAAAACACTTACCATGTTTTGTGTCTGCTGTAAGATGAACTGGTGTACTATATACTCTATTATTGACATCAATTGGTACAGTTTGTGGCGTATTTGCGGTGACATTACTTCTTTCAGATTTGCAATCAGTCGTAAGTGAATTACGGTATTCTGCTAAACGCTGATGACTACGAATGAAGATTTAGAACTTAACACAAAATTATTAGGTATAGTAACATTCGAGACTATAATATTTAAATGTATTGATACATTACTACAAAGCAAAACTATGAAAGCCTAGAGATTTTTTCGTATAACTATTAGTGGTTGTCTTTTTAATTTAAATCATTAGTGATATTACTTACTTATGTCTCTTAACTAATATATAAACGCAAGTAAAACAACAAATCGTCAGTAATATCGAACTGCATATTATGACAAGCATATTGATATCGAAAAGGTCAGACGGTGGTCCTATTGATTCTGAAATGAAATGAAACTTACATTTGTATGTTATATTATCAAATTCAAAAATGATATTAAAATATATTTCATTTAAAGCGTGATATTTTTATAGATTTTTTTCAAGAATCTCAAACTAAAACTTCTTAAAGTTAGAGAACAAATTATTAATTTGCTTATGATGAGTTATAATCTGTTACAAACTTCATGTTGATATACCTCCTTTATACGTAGTGGTAGCATAAGTATATAAAGAAGTTGATACTCCAGCCGAGTTCTCTGCCGTCACTCTGATCTGATACCATTGAGCCGGCAATAACTCTCCAATCACAAATGAATTCGGTTGATTCAATATTGACGAAGGCATGTAATGATTCCATGCATGTTCTATATGTGGCTGAAGAGCAAAAACAATTTAAATGTGGTAAATGTAGTAAAATTATGTTTTAAGCGGCTTCGCCCGCGTGGACCCCAGGAAAATATTAAGTGGGATAAAAATTATTCTATTATCTAAGTCAGCTATCTGTATACCAAATTTCATCAAAATCCGTTCAGTGATTGACCGACAAACATCCAAACATCTAAACATCCAAACAAAGAAACTTTCACGTTTATAATAGTAATAGGATTTGGAACTCATTTCTACTCTTTTTGGAATTATTTTATATAAAGATGTTATAGAATCAGTAAAAAGCTAACTTACAATTTTATTTTCAGCTCTCTTCCACACTTTGGAGCCGTATTCCCTGTAATCCACTTCGAACTTCGTGATCTCGCAGCCGTTATCGTCCCAACCGCTCAGTTGGATAAATACATGACTAGCATTACTCCAGAACCATTCTGTACTAGTGGGCGATATGGGAACTGTAAAATATCAATTTAATCATCATTTGCAAAGAAATCTATCAAAAGAACCAGGAAACTATTAATTATATATATATTTTTTAAAGTTTTGGTCGTTTAAAGTTTAAAGTGTGATTTTTATACCTCCTCCAAGAGTGGTAGCATCGACATAAGTGGGTTGCGATGCTCCAACGCTGTTTGAAGCTGTCATCCTGATAGAATATTTGGTGCCACACTTCAGGTTTTGCAGAATATACTCGTGGGTGCCTTGTAGGGAGGTCAGCTTGTTGGTCCAAACGTCTTGCCAAGATCCGTTAGCTTCTTTCCAAGTTAGATTATAACCTAAAATAGGACCAGAAAATATAAATATATAAACAAAGTGAGTAGATATAACATGCGCGCTTTCTATGTGAGTCTATGAAAGCTAAAAATTTCAAACTGATCTACGGAAAAATGTTTTACTTAAAACTTTATAAAAGTGATAAATAATACTTATCTCAAAAGCGACTTCTTCAAGAAAATGACATTAAATCGGGTGAAAGTCCTCTGTAGGTTTATTCATTAAATAACAGATGAAAGAAATTTTAAAATCGGTTCAGTAATTTTGGAGACTATTCGTTACAAACAAACAAACAATCAAATCTTTCATCTTTATAATATTAGTATGGATAAAAATTCAACATAGTCAATATGTTGAATTTTTATCCATACTAAGCCTTAAAAATATTTTTTTTGTTTATTTGCTCGACATGTTTTTATTATAAAGAAGAAAATGTGATTGCTTGTTGAATACGCGTTGGCCATAGTGTATAATTTACGCCGGCGAAATCGCGCGGAAACAGCTAGTTTGATAGAAATTGGTTCACAATTTAAGAAGAAATCGATTAACATGGAAAGTCCTCCTTTTGAGTTTTGTATGAATTCAAATTACGCTATCTTTTGTTTTTTAGAGAAGATACATGGAAAACAATACTTATCATCTAAATATTTAGAGGTGATAAATGGGACAAAGCGTATTTTATTTTGTTATAAAAAGAAAACTACTGACTCGATTTGGGAACCACCTCGGTCAATTAAGCTGTCGAATAAAAAATAATTTTGAAAATCGTTCAACAATTGGCAGTAATATCGGTGAGCATACAAAAAACTACATAAATCGCCATCGAACATATAACCTCCTCCTCCTCCTTCTCCTTTTGGATTTTGTAGTCAGTTAAAAATATCATCCTACAGTTTTTTTTACGTAAGGCACTATACGTGGCAACAAAATAAAACAACAATTTCTTTTGCTAGAGTGATGACCTACTAATTTTCTGTGGCTTCCCACTGATCTTTCTTGGTGAATCCCAATGTAAGTGCAATGCATTTTTATGGGCTATGACCCTCAAGCTTGGTGGTTCCGGGGTCGGCAAAACTATCACGTCATATGACACTGAGTCAGATCCATACAAATTCTTCGCAAGGCACGTGTAGTTGCCGCTGAGTGATTGATCTATGTCTGAAAATATAGTGAGAAATACGTTCATTTACTTATAAATAGACAAAAACAAACGAGGCACTAAAGAGTATTGAATTGAAAAACTACAATAAACTTTATCCTTCTTTTTTAATATATACTACAAAATCCTCTATATATTGTAAATCTTTTAAAATGGATATAGAGTTCATAACGTCTTAAATTAAAATTATGGGTTAACTTTAGTACAATATAATAATTTAAATCATGCCTTTAATAATGAGCATCGATCGCTTGAATAGAGATTTGATATTTAAAGTATTTAATAAAAAATGGCAACATTATTGCTATACTCCATTCATTATAGCATTAGACAGAAGTTAAATAAGGTTCTTTTTATGGTATACTTTGTGACAAAATATCAATAATCATGTTACTTTAAGACTGATGGCTAATTTGCTACATATCCACTTAAATACCAGCTGCTATACTTAACTGTTGTCATTTAAGCTATCTATTAAACAAATTTATGAGTATATGACTAATTTAAATGATTTAATAACTATTACAATAAAAAGTGTTCATCGTAAAGAACCTAAAGATGGACCTAAAGAGGGTTGGATAGTTTCGGCACGATTCTCACTTCACTATAACTCTACCAAATTTAAAACGTTGCCTAACCCCTTGAAACGTTTCGGTAATACAGCTTTTTAATTTTATCAGACTATTATTTATTCATTATTGTTAAAATCGTAATCTGGGATTGTCATTCATTGTGAATGCTACTGCCTTTCTTGTTGTATTTCCGTTTTCCGTGATGTTATTGTTTTATATTTGTTTTGTTTTTGTTGTTAAGTTTTGGTAAATATGAACGATGCCGATGCAGGCCCGAGTGGCCTACAAAAATTCCGCTCTAAGCCCCCAATACCTACCCTCAAACTTTGACATTTCAGGGAGTTTTTCCAATGTCTTCATCAATAGTCTAACTCATTACACTTACAATTAGAATTTATCAAAACACACAGATAGTTTCAGTTTTAGTTCCATGTTGGCTTGGGACTAAAAGATGAAATTATAAAATGCTGGCCTCATCTCAACCCCGAGGTATCATAAAAAAATGGAAAATTGCTCAGTTCTTTCAGATTACCTAACGTTCAAAGTTTCAACAAAACTAATGTATATTTTTTAAATTTATCTTTAAAAATAAAATGTTCTGCCCTGCTGCTTCTATGACCCTCTTTTTTCTAATGTTATAGTGAATGGACTGTAGATATAATAAAAAAAGAGAGTTATACCTTAAAAATGATTATCAAAATGAAACTCACTATTAATTAATAGACTATCGTCGTGGTTCCTCGTGAATCTGGGATGGTGTGTGATGATGTTGTGATTATGATACCAGACAGTTCGCGGAGGAGGCGTTCCTACACACTGGCACACCAGTAGTAACGAATTACCAACTCCCACTGACACCGGACCACCTAACGAAGCTACTCCTGCTACCACTGTAAATAACAAATAGTTATTTGTTTATCAAGAAGAATTGTGTTATATCGATGACTGATTTGATAAATTGTTGGAGTTGGTGAATGTAAAACAGTAATGAATATTAAAAAAATGAATATAAATAATATAATTCCCCCAACTACTAATACATGGACTCCAACACCGTCTGTAATGCGACGCTTTAGTAAAATATGCATGCAAATTTAGAGCCACATCAAATCTTTTTGTATGTTTGAATGGTAAAGTTACAATTATAAATAAATAGTATATATATTTCGAACTTAGCCACTGAAACAATACTTTATTAATATGATCAGATTTGTTTTTATCAATATCCTTCAGCAGCTAGATTGCATATTCCTTTATCCCAATTAAAATAATATTCGCACAATTGAAAGATACTACCTTTTTTTGTGTGCACTTTCTCGTTTCAAGCTGGTTTTCACAATAAAAGGTAACCTATGTATACCCCTTTTCATGATCAAATCTGTACCTAATTTCATTAAGTTCAAGGGATAGGCACCACAATTATATAATAGGATACAGGCAACATTTAAAGGGCTAGTATCAATGATGTGGTTAGCCCGTAATCCATAATGATATTACCTTTAGAAGATAATTCTGTGTGTATCCTATTACTAGGCGCCCCTTCTCCAGCTGACGTATGAGCCCTAACAAACACCTCGTATTGTTTGCCAGTGGATAACCCTGTCACAGGAAAGGTTAATTGTCTTGATTGTTCTTGGTTTGTTTCTGCTCGATAGCTTTGTGGAGCTCCGGTGCTGAAATTTTATATTAACCTTAATCCATAACAGTTATGTAATATCCAGTCGAAATTAAAATAAAATAAATATTATACAGCATTGCTCAGATTCCAAGATGTGTAAACTAAAGCGCCCGTATTATGGACAAAACAAATTATATATTTGTTTTGCATTTATTTCTACAAAACATTAGGTTCATGTTAGTTAGTCTAGTATAAAATATTATCATGTTTATGTTATATAAATACCTCGAAACAGGTTTCACATAAACGGTGTAGTATAAAATCTCCCCATTCGGCTGGTCAGGTCTTCTCCAGCTAACCAGGATTGATGTAGAAGACGCCACTACCACTTTAATCGCCGACGGTGGTCCAGGTACTGGAATATAAAAATTTTATTTTATACTATAGCTACATGTCTTATATGTACCATTTCCGGCGTGCAAAAATTAGATATGGTTGTAGAGAAGAAGTCTCAGCTGCATATGCAATCGTTGATACTCTCTAATCTTCACTGGATCCGCGTGCAGGGTCATTGATCAATCTCCCAATTTAGTTCAATTCTATCTAGAGGGCAGGCCTGCAGCCATGGCCGGCCCATATAGGCAAACTGACGCTGGACGCTCAAAAATGCAGACCTTTTTTTATTGAATTTTATTACTTGAACATGAGTACATGTAAGCGGCTTTGAAAAATACAAAAGTCTTGAATTAGTAGTAGCTAAGGAGTTCCTTTTATCATTGGCAAAATTAAACTCTTCAATCAATTTCTTTCTTTAGTCTTATTTTGATGTGTATTTTATGGGCGTCATTCTAGTGTTTTAGCTAGGGCGGCGAGATTCAGCGTTTTGCCTAGGCGCTAAATTTAATTGAGCCGGCGCTGCCTGTAGCCCAGCCGTGGGAACATTAAACGTTTTTAATAGATGATAATTATTGTGAAGTATAAATCTTACCATCTTGTAAAGTAGTACAAAGAATCGGATATGAGAATGGCCCTATCCCATAATTGGAGAAACCGGCAACTTTGATAGTGTAGTTGGTATATTTCATTAGTGCTTGAATATAGAGCTCAGTGTGAGGAGAGGTAATGTTCTGCATAGGTCCATCTGAAATTTAATCAAAAAGAAATTAAACTTTACGGGGTACCAAATGTAATGACGAAATGGAACCTTGGTGTTTTACTCATTTATTTACTGCAAACCCTGATTTAAATTATATGAATATGTTGGAACCTATTACAAAAACCTTCCACGTTTAATTACACAATGGACAATGGAAAAGATAAGATAAGATAAGTAACTTTGTTTTATACAATGTTGAGATAAATATGAAATTGTTCAATAAATAAATATTGTACGATTACCTTCTGTGCCATAAAAAATCGAATATCCTAGCAGAGATGAACCAGGCACGGTGATCGGTTGCCATGATATCCTTAAAGATGATGATGAGACGCCTCTGCATTCCACACCAGATGGAGGATGTTCTGGAGCTAGAAAGTTGACAATATATTGTCGATATCTTCAATAAATTAATTTTAATGATAGTTTATTTTAATTTTGAAAACTCATTTGTTCTTTTTTTTTCATCACGGCGTTCAGAATGTTTAGATATCCAATTACAATGTAATTCATTGGTATATGTTGCAGATATTTGTAGAAAAAGGTCTGGTTTGATGTAATTACTACTTTTTTTTATAAAAACTTCTTGGTGACTTACAATATAAACATAAAAAAGTATTATTTAAAGATTTTAACTATACCTCCTTCGCGGGTAGTTTGGTATACTGGCAATGAAAATGGCCCATTACCCGCAGAGTTGAATGCACTAACGGTAATTGCGTACCTGAAAAATACTGAATAAAGTGAGTAATTATCATCTGAAGCTATATTTATGAGATAAGCACACGATTGACAATTAATTTAAAAATAATAATATATTATTACCTTGTATTTTTGAATAATCCACTGAGTATTGTTTCTTGTTTTCCTTTTCTAGATATCACTTTTAACACCTTAGTCTGAGTGTCATTGGGCCCTGTAATTAAATTGTTAACATATATCTGTTATTATGTATGAATTGTGTTTTGTGCAGTTACATTTACTAGAGGTTGACCCAGTGGCAGATATTCATCATTATAAAAGTATAATGTGAACATTGAAAGTTAACAATACGTATCGCTATTCATAGAAATCTGTATCGTTTCTGCGGTGTAGTGACTATTGTTGTACAGGGTAGGATCACCGACCTATAGAACAAAACACAGTTCTTTGTGGAACGATACAAAGTTTATTTTGTAGTTCTATGAGAAGACGATACATATTGTTTATATGTTTATTGTCATAGTCGGTTTCTTAGCCTGTTAGTTACACAAATTTCCATTAAAGTTTAATGAAAGCTTTTAGATCTAAATTAATATTATTTTATTGGTAACTTTGCTTTAAATTAATAACAATTTTAATAGTTTGTGTGCACCTATTGAATGTCATATTATTTTTCTCATTATCTTATACAATACTAGCTGTTGTCCTGCATCTTCGCACGCGTGAATTACAGCCTATGTCAACTCCTTATGTAGCTACCCGTAGGAGAAAGAACTTTAAAATCAATCCAGTAGTTTTGGAGTTTATTCAATGCAAACAAACATACAAACAATTAAATTTTTCCTCTTAATAATATTAGTATAGATGATGGATTGTCGACATTCTATAAATAAAGGTGTCAAGCACATGGTAATGACAGTAAAGTTGATGACGGTAATGGTTATGTTTCCATTAGTTACCATTATAAAAAAATAGTATTATGCACTTTTCCACCATAAACATTTTATTTTTTTCTTGAAAAAGGAAAGAGTCCAGAGTTTTTGTTTCACGTTTTATTATTACATAAATTAACTGTAATTTCATCCAATCATTGACAGACATTCATCGATATATAAATTGGAGAAATTCAGATCTTTCTTTGTTACTATCGACATTTTAAAATACTATAAAACACAAAATCTCTTATATTACATTATCAACATTAACTTTTTCAACAAACTTACCAGATTCTCCACTTATTCTTGGCACAGCTTTGACGTGGTAACCTTGTAGGAGACCATTGTGAGTTTCTCGTGGTGGGGGTATCCAGGAGACAAGAAGCTCCCCAGGGTTTTCCGTTTGTTGAACTTGTACTCCGAGAGGAGTCGACGATGGTGCTGAAATATAATATGTTTGCATATGCAATATTTATGTATAAGAAAAACTTATGCATATAAATAAAAGTGGTCAAATATGCCAGCAGCCCTAAAGTGATAAATTAGTAAGAAAGCTTTGTTTCTCATATTGTTTGAAAAGTGAAATTTTAAATTTTTCAAGATATGCTATTTCTTTAAAACTGCAGTATATGATTATAGATAGCATTGGAATTTTAATAGTTATCTTATTTTAAGAATTGAAGTGGACGACGAAACTTTTGACTTTGAGAAAAATTGGTTAGATTCAAACCTTCAACACAGATAGACCAACAGACAACATGACTAACATATAAGCGTTCCATTTTTTTACCATATGGCTATAAAAACTTACTGAAAACATTATAAGCGATCTAACTAAAAAGTAGCTCATTTAAGTTAGAATATGGTTTCTATACTTGATACTAACACACACTATATTTGTACTCCCATTATTTGGGCAAGCAGCTAGTTTCACTGGGAGTACATTATTTGTTTTTAATAAATTTAGTAAGATCTATAAAGATAGATTATTATTTAGACGAAGAAAGCATTTGTGAGAAATCTTTTGTATGTGCAAAACTTCACACTTCGTTATTACCTTCTTGTTGTGTTGTAAAATGAACTGGTTGGGTATATGGGCTTAAATCTACTTGGTTTCCGGCAGCCACTCTAACCCTGTAATCCACTGCTGGTTGTAAGTCTCTCAGTTCAATGTTCTGCCTTAAATCGCCCTCTTGTCTATAAAATATGCAAGTTTTCGTTTGTATTAAAGTAATTTGTCTTAATGAAAAAAATAAGAACTAAAACTTCTCAACAAGGACATTCAATAATACAAAATAATATCATCTAGATCAGCATTTTCTATATTTTTTTGGATAGACTCCTAGGACATCCAGTACAAGATTAAGGCATCAGCATATTATCACATTTATAACAAAAAATTGACAATTTAGATTAAAAAAAAATACCGAAATTTTCGAGGTATTGGTACTGTCATACAAAATGTTACTCTGAAAAGTGGTACTGATTTTTTGCACCTTAATCTTGTTATTCCAGGCACACATTCACCCTGATAAGGATTTGATGACATGGAAATGTTCATCTAACTACTTTTGGATGGAGTGAAAGAAACAAAGGTTTCTAATAAATAAGTAAAACATATTTTTACCTCGTAATATTTATATTTTTTGCCGTATCCCACATCATGAAATCGGTGGTAGTGTATTGTATGGTGTAATACTGAACATGTGCACTAATAGTATCTCTCCATGAGAGCTTTGCTGAATTACTTGTCACTGAATCTACTTGCAGATCTAGAGGCGGTGTAGGTGGTTCTAAAAATTGAGATGTGTCATATTTATCAACCAAAAATAAAAATATGTGTTGTCTTACTCAAATACGGAACAGAAGCCTCAGGAATATGTAAAATCTCAGCTGGATGAGTAATGACTGGAAATGCACAGTTGCGCTTTTGCAGTCTTTCGTAGGGGACAGCCCGGCTGATCTGCGCGCTAGCCGGGCATTGCACGCTACTATATGTCTCAAATGTATCTCAGAAGTACCCCCAACCCTCAGAGGGAAGGAATAAGTATAACTAAGAGTGCACCTTTATTATTAAACGTTAATATCTCCTATGTAATTAATATAAATCTAATAACCAATAAATTTAAAGTGAACACTGTGGAGAAAGCTAGATAAAGCGTTTAATAGAGTATTTTACAGTCTTGCAAAATAAGCTTACCGAGAATATTCAAATTAATGTTATAAGTTGAAACACCAAAGGGATTACTAGCTCTACATTCATATGTGCCCCCATCTCGACTCTCCACGTAATTTATCGTAACGACGCTCTTCAGACCATTATGCGTCAATGTCTCCGATACTGTTATTCTGAAATTTATTGTTTTGTGAAAATTTATACTTTATTACACATATACATATAAACTACACAACGAATTTTTAATATGTTTTAAAATAATATAATAGTAATTCAAGAGAGAGATTTTAATGTTTAATACAGGACCACGTGGGCGAAGCCGCTGCCGAACAACTAGTTAAAATAAGTAAAAAATAGGAATATTTGGGAAAGTGTAATATCTCGCCATCTGTGGTGCTTGTAATGGTTTATGGCAAAACATAATATTGCATTATTTTTCATTTAATTACAAGAAAAAGCACCACCTCGCAGTAACTCTGTTGCTTAAATTTTATAAAATCACAGAGATGGCGCTGTGCTACGCATGGCTGAAACGTTATGGGCTAAAAAAGTTTGGGGTTTCAGGAAATGTGAGATTCTAGCAATATTTTCAACAATAAGGAGTATAATGATATTCTTCTTTTTATATAAAAATCAATTGCTGTTCGTTTGTCTCGCTAAAACTCTAAAAAGGCTGGGCTGATTTACCTAATTTGACTTTGAAATATGTGAGAGGTGATACGAATCATCAGTTGTCGAGTTTGAAATAAAAAGAAATGTTTCAATAGTTTTTGAACAAATGAATTCGTCAAAAAGTTGAAATTCATTTTATTCGTGAGTCTGTCTATATCTATATAATATACCTAACTCTGTAGCTCGGTGGCGTAGTGGATATGCGCCGCGGCACGCGATCGTTCTCGTTAAGCAACTTTCGCAAGGGTCGGTCACGGGATGGGTGACCAAAAATTATTATCCCGTTAAGTTTGGGCCCGGCTACATTTGTAGTCGTTAATACCCGCCAATCCGCATTATTGGGCCAGAGTGGAGGGTCATGGCCCATGCTCCTTAACCATCCATAAGGAAGTGCAGTGAGGACGAAATAAAGGGCTGATGATCATGATGATGATGATGATGAACTGTTTAAACAAATATTGCGCACATATGATGGCTCTAGGAAGTTTTATTTTAAAGTAGACATTATTAAATTATTAAACCTCACCTCGATGATGTAAAATCCAGCGGCTTTCCATTCAGTGTCCATTTTACACGGATCGGACTATCTCCTAGAGGCTTGCAAATTAAAGTAGCGGGGAGTCCGGTTTTTGTGGTGACATTTGAACCAACAGATTCGAAGTGCACTGGCTCTAGAGGAAATTTTCATTTTAGAATTATTTGGAATTCAATACCAATGCCATTATCACGAATTTAAATTTAAGATATATTGTTGTTATAAATAATGATGACTTTGTAATTAATATTAAGCTTGATCAAAGAAAGTAAGTAATTTTAAACTTACTTTTTATTTTGAAAATTTATTTTGCATTTTAATAAAATTTGTTTATTTTAAAGAACATAAAATTTAGGACGCCTTTTGACTGATAAGAAGACCAAGCGAAAAACTTTGATCTCGTTATTACCAAAATACAATGTACTATAATAATAATATGGAGCATAAAATGGACCTTTTTACGTAATGTGTTCATGCCGCTTGTATATTGTGCTTGAGATTTTTTGTAAACTTGTATACTTACTATTAACGCTTATCCATATATTTTTATTAAGTGGATCTCCGACACCATTTTCCACATTACAAGCATACATCCCTTCATCAGACAAGGAAACTACTTCAATTATAAGTGTTCCGTTTGGATAGCTCATCACGCCACCACCAGCAAGATCGAGAACTGGGCGCCATATGCCTAATGTTGCTGAAAATGTTTAAAAGAAGTGGAGTCATTTTAGGTATCCTTTTTTATTTTTGAATGAAATTCAAAACATTATATAAGACGGAGTAAAATCTAATTATATTAAAACAAATAATATCAGTTTCTGAAATGTTATAGCTTCTCGAAATAAAATTAACTCAAGAAGTAACAAAACTTGATTAATTATTCTAAAGAGTCATTTTAGTCTATAAAAGGCTCTAATAGGGAGAAAATTTTACGGTCGGCGTGATCAATTAGTCTCTCGAGAGAACAGAATTTTTATCAAGATGAAGTTTTTGTCCTTTCTAATAAATCTTCTTTAATATATTATATATTTTCACTTTGTCTTTATCTTCTTTCTTATCTCTTAGGAATACAAAATAAGCGACTATCAAAAAGTTAAATTGCCAACGGGAGTTCAGATTACTAATGTAATAAATCTTCTTCAAAAGAGCTGAAGCAATTTACTCCAAGTTTTGACTAGAATTTTTAGGGCCTGTGCACAAGTACATTTTTAACTATGATGGGTTGGATATGATAACTTATAGTGGACCAACAAAACAATCACGTTTTATATTTCTACAATAATCAGAGAGAAAATTTCAAAGTAAAATTTTGCTCACCATATTTTAATATTTATAATATTAACATTCTATAATAGGTATTTGAATATTGTTCTTAATATTTTTAAGAGCTTTTTTCTTGATGTTTACTATTTTATAAAACATTTAAATTAAGTATGCCTAAATTTAAAAACAGCTTCTTTTCTCACCATCTCTTTTCATCCAATGTACTTGTGGAGTAGGATATCCATTTGCGTCACAATAGACTATACCACGTTGACCAAGTAATAGAGATGTATTCGATGGTTCTTCCATCCATTTTGGTGCCACTGTATTCCGAAATGGTATTAAACGAGAGATGTCTATAGAAGAGTCTTTATGAGGATACATAATATTTATTGGTAGTGAAATCACTTTTTTTTTTGTGCTGGATTCTTTGTAATCAAAATTTCACAATAATTAAGACATCTTGATAAACTATGCAAGATCAAAAGATAAGCTAGTTGTCGTTCCTAGACCCTAGTTATTATTTAAAATATACGTTTTTATTATAATAAAAATAATTGGCACGAGTACAGCAACTTCATCGACCTCACCTGGCCCTGTACTGTCGAAATTAACATTAAATATATCATAGACTACTTTGTCATCTGTCCCGCTTTATTTGTATGTCATATTAACGGGCTGAGTTAAGTTGACAATATATCATATTGGTTTTAAGATTGTTACTTCCGTATTACACAGTAAATGACTTACCATTTATAAAAAGGTCTGCGGTCTGATTCACTTTTCCGACATGATTGGTCGCTATACACGTATACTTTCCACAGTGTTCTAACGAAACTCTCTTTATTATTAACACACTAAATAACTCCGCACTTCGTTCCGTAATCTGTAACAATGGAAACAACAAATGGATTTTCACTGGGCACTACTTTAGGGGCTGTATCTTTTGTCTTTGATATTTTTTTGGTCCGTTCTATTTAGTTTTTCTTATTAGCTAATATTAGGATGAGAATAATTTCGTTGGCTTAAAACATGACAGTGTCTAAATTACTTTTTGTATGAATGATGTACGTTTTTAAGACAGATTCTTCAAATGTGACTAGAATTTTTCATATATTTAAACCATAAGTCTAATGAATATTGACAAATCAAGTACCTTTAAACTAGCAGGTATCTTCTTTCCATCCTTAAGCCAAGAGAAGTAAATAGGTGGATCTCCACTTATTATGTTACAAGTGATCTGCACTATTTGACCTTCTTTTAAGCCGGAGCCTACTCGTAGTTCATCTAATTCTGGAGCTTCAACTACTTGAATCTCAAAAGACCTTAAATTAAGTAAAGCAATTACATTTTTGTCATAGGTACATAAAAAACGACGAATTTAAGTATAAGTAGTAGGCTATTAATTTGACAATCCTCTATCTGAATTGGATATAAATAATATGAATAACAGTTTAGCAACAATTTGATCTTATTTTCGATCATAAAAGTCAACTGATGTAATACGATAAACAAACCAGAATGGTGATCAAAGGTTTATCGAGTCTTCGGATAACAGTAAAAGCTTGCTAGCTAGCTTTATGATTAATTTATAATTAACGTTCATAATTGATCTGATATAATTACATTTTGAGTCAACATTATTACGTTAATTTATTAAATCTCGATATTTGAATTCCAGTGAAGGAAGAATTATAACCGATCGTAGATATCGTTTGAGATAGTAGGAATTATTAGATCAGATACATCAGTTCTTATGCATATTTTCTTCAAATGAATATTTAACTTATCTTAGCTTTTTATCATACCTCCTCGCCATTTCACCCGATGGACTGTAAACGATACATGTGTACATATCGCCATTTTCTTCTTTTACAATTCTTGCTATATTTAATATTCCGTCTTCACTCGGTTCGAATATTTGTCGTTTCCTTCGTTTCCTTTTTGCATTCCCATACGTTCGTTTGTATCTTCCATGTTGAGATAACGATGTGGTCATAATCTTCTTTCCTTTATGTTCCCATTCCAACTTACTGAAAATTTAAATGTCGGAATTGAGAAAAATAATAGATTGATTAGGAAGACATCTTAGTGTCAGTCCACATTTGCCTTACGCTTATCTATATTTATCTGACAGTTATTTTAGATACTGGAAACTAACAGTTAATTAAGCCATAAGTATAACATTTTTAACGATCTGAGAAAAAATGTATGCAACAATAACACACAATTATAATTTTATATTTACAAACTACGTTACAAGCTACATGTTTAGAAATTTAAATTTAATTGAATAGTAATTAAATCTGTAAACATGTACAGCTAGATGCATACATTTATTACTTTAGTAAAGAAATTCACTGTCTCTTATTTTGTTTAAAAAATATCCAGTACGCATATCACGACGAACTCGAGAAAAGGTCTGACTGCAGTAGGGGTTGGCGCAGGCGGGCCGCAATCCGCATCCGGACCTCGGAGGGTTGAATTATGACGATAGACCGCTAAATACGAGTATTGTTAACATACCCATACATATTTTGTTTAACGTAATCAAATGTGCAGATACCTATATCTGTGTGAAAGTCGCAATTTGTTTCTTTTCTAAAAAATATATTTTTTATGTGTTCTTAAGCAAGAATTAGCTCAAACTTTTCAATTTGACATATACCGATCTCCCCCCCGCGTCCTAAGCGTTATATTATTTTGTACCTTGATAAATTCTTGGAGGGGTCCGGACACTTTATAAAATTACTCGCCGACACGCGTAGCATGATAAACTCGAGAACGTTTTTTCTACATCAACACGCGTAACATGACAAACTCGAGAACTTTTTGTGACATTTCGATGTCGACAAAGAGTTTCTCGAATTCGTCATATGTGCAATCCGTGTTGAGAGTGGGATATCGTATCACCCGAGAAAAACTTCATTTAGGTACAGGACATAAGTTTCTAGAATTCGTCATACTACGCGGGCTAGTCTACACCATTCTCGGGTCGAGAGTTAGATACCTAATGTGGATATAATCTTGACAAATTAGAGTTTTGTTTTATTCTTAGTATAATCACGAGTAGACAATAACACATTGTCGTGATCTACAACATTTCCCACTGTAAAACTGTGCTTGGCTTAACGACATATAACGTACATAACGAGTTACGTAGGGATGTATGTTTATTCGAGTATTTTTCAATACATATCAACGTTATGTTTCATTCAAACTTACCTTATAGGATAACCATAATAAGGACACCTAAGTTTTAGTGCTTCTCCACTCTGAACTTTGATTGGTGGAAGAGATCTGATGTAAGGTGGACCTGTAATTGGCGGATACGATTATTATTTCATTTATTGTTGGACTAAGTACGGATTTATATTTGTTAGATGCATGAAAATTATCAATACTGAACTTATTGTAGATATTCATAAGGATGTTTGGATTAAGTCACATTATTTTATCTCACAATCTTACCATAAATATCAACTCTAGCTACATGCATCACACTTGAATCTCCTTCGATAGCTATACACGAATACAATCCACCATCTTCAACTCTTGTCCTTGAAATGTTCAGTTGTGATACTACGCCGAGTCCTGAAGGCGACATCATTTGGCCTAAAGAATATCTACAAAGACAGATATCGCATAGCAATATTGTTAGCATTGACATAAAAAAAAAATTATTCAAAGACAACGTCTAAACAATTTTAATCTGTTTTATTAATATATAAATAACTTCGCCACGTGTATGTTTCAAATTTCACATTTGTGCCCAATTTCTCCTATTTGTAAAATTTACAAATTGGTTCATGGTTTTACGGACTTTTTTGTCTAAATAAACTAATATCTACATTTTTCTTTATATTGCTTGATTAATGATAAGATTCGATCTCTCGCCTGGATATAGAAAACTCTCAAATCCATATATGATAAATAGCTAACATATATGTTTTCATTCGGGTTCATGAATTCTTTTGTAGGATAAACAAAAAAAAATGCCGAGACCAACACAATAGAATCAAATTATACAATTTACGTCACAGCCTTAATGTCACCGCTACTTACATTCTTAACAATAGGTTAATGAAAAGTTATTCTTTGTCATATATATTCATTAAGGTCGCAAAAGGCTTTTATTGCAAAGAAAAAGCGTCATTCTTAAAGCTTCATGATCTCATGCTGGCTCATTTACGATTATGTTTTACTTTTGAGATGTAGATAAGTGGCATTAAAGTTAATGGAAATGGAGATATATGAAAAGGACAATTTCTCAGCCATTTTCCTTTTGATAATCTCTATGTATATTATTAATTATTATAATGTTGCAATCCCTATTACTTTACCTAGGCTCTGTGTTGGAAGAAACGACGACGCCATCTCTCTCCCATATAAATCTTGGTGGTCTAGTAGCCGTGGCAGTGCATTGCAAGCTTATCTAAAATTGCGTAAAGAAATAATATTTTCACAAATTTACCGCAACATAAAAATAAATAATTTAAATGAAAAATTCTTAAAAAATCCACCAGTCCCAGGTATTCCGCAGTGAGAGTCGAAACCACGACCTTTCGTAATACGGGCGACTGCTATAATCACTGAGATACCCGAAATCCAAGAGGATTAATTAATTCTTTAAGCGTTCGTTACTTTTTCGGTACTAGTGAGTGTATTCTTATCAATGTTCCGGCAATTTCGTTTAAATTATTTATCAGTATATCATTGTGATTGCAAAATTGAATTAACATAATAATCAATACAAAATTTAAAGAACTTTAGATATATGCGAAACATATTTTATATCTAAAATATTATTCCGATTTAAGGATATTGACACCTTTAGATGGAAAAACCAAAATGGAAACATGATGAAGAAAAGGGTGTGAGATCTGATTTGATAGATAATCGGAATCAGAATTACTTTGGTGGATCCAAGAACCAAGATAGAAACAGATCTCTATAATATCTAACTTCTATTGCATACTCTATTGTTAGCGTTGTTCGTGTGTAAAAAATAAATATTTGAAGACAATCTATAAAATTAAATGAATTTTAAAATTTTGCAGATAGGAACATGTAAGTGTATACAGTGCATATTTTGCCTATCTTAGTTATATCCTTCAGGATCCTTTGCAGTAGTAAGAGAAGACCACGGATCACAAAGCATGGTCTTTTTATACGCTTTCACTTCCTTGACATTTTTAACTAATTCTTTTCCAACATGCTCCCCTATTTTAATAGGTGATATTAGATTATAATCTTTAATAATATGCCATCAACCTGATAGAGAAAACTGTGTGTTACTGATATTCGTGATCACTTGGTGTACAATGTGACATTAAGTTTTGGTCTTGTTATATCTTCCTAACACTGAAACACCCTATTGTATTTGTGAGTGTTTTTAGTTTAAAATATAAAGTAATGTGGTAGACAAAAAATTACTTACATCTTCACCGGGTGTAACGATTTTCTCGTTAAAATGCTGCGCTATCATAATATTGCTGGCTCCCATGTTTCTTTTTTGCCTGACGAAGCTAACTCCTGAAAATAAAGTTATGACTTCATAATGAAGATACTAGTGTACCGGAGAGATAAAAATGATAAGAAAATATATATTTTCACAATTTATTACTAAATAACAATATTTGTATCAACAAAGAAGGGGGTGGAATCTAAATTCAACGAATGGTTGCGTAATAAAAATTCACAAATACCACTTTAAAATAGTTTTAGTGACAAGAATCCTTTTTAACACTGCAGTAGTATAAAATTAAAAGGATTAAGTAATTAGTTATTTAAAAATTGTGATTGCTGTTAATAAGGGATTAAATAAACCGTTACACTATTTACTGAAATTTATTAGTCATGAAAGTTCATGATGTAGGTTTGTCAGTCAAATCGGTTAGTATTGGAGCCTATTCAATGCAAAAGCACAAACAATCGAATATTTCCTTTTTATAATATTAGTTTACATAAGTTGAATTAATCTTGTGTTCCAGAAATATATAGGAAATAAACACTTTGGTAAAACATGATTAAAATAAAATCCACTTTGTCCCAATCAGAGTGTCCAACGTAGTCGTCTATTCTGGGCAATGGATGGCTGTCCTTCTTTGTGAAATGATTCAGACGTCGATAATTCACATAAAATCGAATGCTGCCGTCTTTCTTATTTACCAAGACCACGGGTGAATACCAAGAACTAGAAGAAGGTTCTATTACGCCATCTTTTACCATGCCAGAAATCATGGAGTTCACTTCCTTATCTCATGCTACTCGTATTGATTGGTAATGTCGAAATAAGTTAGTCCTCCCCAGGTCATCGTCACTTGTTGAGAAAACATAAGCATACTGGACAACAACTTCTTTGCCATGTTGATTTCGTCTGTTGTCATGTCACTGCCACAGTCATTCAATAATGACGAGATGTCAAATGTTGTGTTTCGATTGTGGTTTCTAGTAGGCAGCTCTTCACATCTTCTCATTCATACTACTTCCTCACAAGTACCAATCACTGTGCCTCGTTTAATTGACTGTTCTTTGTCAGACAAGTTCAGAATTCGTGACTAAAACCGCTCGCCTTGACTAGAGTACGTTCCATAACGCATGAAGCATCTCCTTGTCACCTTTCGATAAGGTCGCACCTCGTCTTCCCATCTCGACTCTTTGGTAGTCATACGTTTTCCACTGTTTCTGATATTGATGAGAGAATAACACTTTTCACGCAATAAATGCCACTTGATGCACCTTCCATAAACAGTTCTTACATCTCTACACTGCACATGTGCAGTGGTCCGTGTCTTGCCACCAAGAAGCCGATTTGACAGTTGGAAACTGACAATTGTGCAAGAGGGTCCAGTATCCAATGTCAGCTTATATGGAGTCCCATTGATCTCATTTCGTATCACCAGGCTGTTCCCATCATGTGCCTGAGAGATCGAATTCTTGGAACTTTGTGAACACTAGCTAGCTTTCGCCAAGCAGTTCTGGCATTTACTCGTTTCCCTGCTTCTGTGAAGCGGTGCTATCGAGCGCTCTATCCAACGTCGTTCTATCTTTACTGCTGCTTATCATTACTCTAGGGCAGTTCATCCGAAGAAAGCACCTGGGGCTGAATCGTTGTGGAAGATCGAAGGATTGTACCAGCGTGGCTTCACCCATAGTAAAGCTAGATTGGTATACTTTCCGGACGAGTTTGTCAAGCATCTGTTCTTCTTGGCAGTGAGCCTCTTCCTCTTGAAGCTACCGCAACTGTTCTTCTTGACGGCGAGCCTGTTCCTTCTGGGGACAATCGTGTTCTTACATAAGTGCCACTAATGCAGCAAAGTCTGGAGCAGCAGTCGTGGTTATCGCATTCAGCATGGTCGCCGAGAGCGCCGTGGTCGTCACATTAACTTCTTGTTGGCGTTGGCTCCTAGTAAGAACGCCCTGTGCGACGTCATGTGGTGTAACAGACATTTTGTTTTTACCCCACTTCTTACACCAAATCATTAAGACTTAGGGTTCGGGATATAAATCATCGCTTATTAAGTTCACAATCCGACCTTATTCACTTAAATAATTCAAAATTGCAAAATAAAACAATAACACTATTATAGATTTCATTTGGCAAGAAATTGCAGTTTTAGTGCATTATGGTGCCAAATTAAAACTTTATCGCAGCAATAATCTGATAATAATTCAAAGGCAATAAATATTGAGCTGCAATATACTTCGACAAGATAGACGTTCCTTAGGAGATGAAATTTTTGTGTTAAATATTTGATCTATAAAATGAAATGTACTATCATTATATTTAAATAAATAGACTAATTTAATAAAGCTACTAATTAAATTGAGCAAAAACAAAATTTTTACAAAAGTCATACGATCAGTTGCACAAACGTCTATTAGGGTTTAATGACGCCTTTGAGCTCTCATGAATGTCAAAATTGTAATGTCACATCAAACTAATAAAAATTTTAATCGACATTTGTGCAACTGGCTGATAGAAAAAACATATTTTAAAATAACCAAATGCCTACCACATTTATTATGCTAACGAAATTTAATTTTTGCTTTTATTTTATTTACAGGATACTATCTAGAGAATAAAACATGTGTTAAGTGTCTACCGATAATATGTTATTAAATGCTAAATATTCACCCTTTATGTTAAAGTAATATAACTACATACATACCTTTATAAATATGATCTGATTCGTAACTTTCTCTCCACGTAAGTATACTACGAACTGTAGGGGACCTGTTAAAGTTAAAGTATATATTTATGTATCAGAGAAATTTGAAACAACGATTGCAAACAATTCCCAGTTACTTTTTGTAACGAAAGCTTTTATCTTACACGCCCTTAACACTCGCATGATCGTGAAGTAGATCGCACAGTACGGGGCTCTCCAAATGTAGGTCATTAATGTTTATGGTACTATAAGACTATCTTGAAGATAAAAGTTCTTAAACATTTATTAAAAAACTACTTAACTGTTGAGGTCCAATTTTATAGTTTGTCAATGAAGTTTCAAATTAAGCTTATTGATTCAACAAAACAATATTGAACTAATAATATTTGACGTGGTCTGAACTATACTGTGGGCAAATGTAAAAACGCCATTG